GCATAGGCAAAAAGCAAGCCTTCTTGAATTGACAAAATACTAATTGGAATGTTTAGTATCCAGTGGATGAAACACTGGAAGTATTCACTCATCTATGCCAAGAGAGTTAAACAACACTTCTGGTTATCCAGCTAGAAGAGACCCATATTTGTGCCCATTCCAAAGAAAAGAGATCCAACAGAATGTGGAAACTATTGAAAAATACTATTAATATCACATGCAAGTAAAGGGCTACTGGAAATAATTTTAAAATGATCACAACAATATACCAACAGGGAAGTTCTAGAAATTCAAGCTGGATTCAGAAGAGGATGTGGAATAAGGCATATCATTGCTGATAATCAGATGGATCCTGGCTGCAAGCAGAGAATACCAGCAAGACGTTTACCTGTTTAGTTGGCTATGCAAAGGCATTTGACTGTAGATCATAACACATTGTGAATAACTTTTCAAAAAATGGCAAATCCAGAATACTTCATTGTCCTTATTCAGAATCTGTAGGTAGATCAAGAAGCAGTCATTAGAACAGAACAAGGAGCTACTACATGAACAATACTTAATTCAGTCAATCCATGAAGCTGGACTATATGGATAAGAGAGTGATATAAAGATTGGAGGAGGACTCATTAACAACCTGTGATACGCAGGTGTGACATAAGCTTTGCTTGCTAAAGGTAAAGAAGAATTAAAGCAATTGCTGATGAACATCAAAGATGACATCTTAACATAAAACAAAAATTCTGAGAAGAGGTAGCAAGATCGCAGAAATGCTACACAGACTCTATATAACAAAGATATGTAAAACCAGATGAAACAGATGCAGTTGATAGTTCTGGATGGTGGGATAGAGTAGTGGATTGAAGGCTTACTAGGAGAGGAAGCAGAAGAGATGCATCCAAAAAAGGACCAGGCTAGTGACCTATGTTGGCTGACCATATGCAGCGCAGCTATCTTAAACTTTGGCAAGCAATTTGAGACAAGATAGTATATTGGTGACTCATGCAGTTTTTTTTTCTCATTCCCCACATTCTGTTGTAACCAAAGATGTGGTCAACTCCACCTGCATACACCTGCAGTGAAGCTCCCACTCTCCCAGAGGTTGGAGCTGCCTGGTGGTGAGCAGAACAGTTGTGTGCCTTATCAAAGTAATTTAGGTGTTATCCGCACCAACCCCAGTGCCTGAATTCAGGTGAGCCCTGCTCCAGACCTGCAGAGCTGGCACTGGCCAGCCCTGGACTACTCTAACTAGGAAAAGCAGCTGAACAGATGCTGGCGAAGTGGGGAACAGGAGCAGGGGGTAGCAAATGATTTGTGCCAGGTGCAGCATGGCCATCCTGAACTTTTGTGGGTGGCTTTGGAGGCAGAGTGTGGTTGGTGGCACAGGGGAATTACCGCTTATTGGCAGAGACAAAGCTGAGAAATTTTCCCCCATACCCCACATTAAATTCCAGTGAAACTCCTCCCCAGAAAGTCAGAGCTGTATCAAAGTCAGTGTTAAGCTAGCAGCACCAACCTCAGGACCTGGAATCAGTTATGACCTGATTAAAAACGTTGAAATACTATAAAGCATCTTTTCAGATCACAGTGCTATAAAATTAGAAATCAACAATAGGAAGATAAAGGGAAAAAAATCAAATATATGGAAATTGAATAGCATCCTGCTTTAAAAGGTGCTAAGTGATAGAACAAATAAAGAGTGAAATTAAAAAATTCCTTAAATCAAATGAGAACAAAACCACAACATACATAAACCTTTGGGACTCTGCAAAAACAGTGGTTTGAGGTCAGTTTATATCAGTAAATGCACATATCCCAAAAGAGTAAAGAACCAAAGTTAACACATTTATTCAGCACCTCCAACATTTAGAAAAAGAGCAGCAAAGCATTCCAACAGTCA